GTCCTTCGTCAAACCATATCATGTTGACATAGATCATCTTGACACACTCCGTCCTTCGTCAAACAATATCTACTGTTGTGTGGATCATATTGACACCCACACTGTGCTTCGTCAAACCATATCTACTGTTGTATAGATCATCTTGACACCAACACTGTCCTTCGTCAAACCATATCTACTGTTGTATAGATCATCTTGACACCCACTCCGTCCTTCGTCAAACCATATCTACTGTTGTATAGATCATCTTGACATCTACGCCGTCCTTCGTCATACCATATCTACTGTTGTATAGATCATCTTGACATCAACACTGTGCTTCGTCATACCATATCTACTGTTGTATAGATCATCTTGACCATCAACATCTTGACATCAACACTCCTTCGTCATACCATATCTACTGTTGTATAGATCATCTTGACATCAACACTGTGCTTCGTCATACCATATCTACTGTTGTATAGATCATCTTGACATCAACACTGTGCTTCGTCATACCATATCTACTGTTGTATAGATCATCTTGACATCAACACTGTGCTTCGTCATACCATATCTACTGTTGTATAGATCATCTTGACATCAACACTGTGCTTCGTCATACCATATCTACTGTTGTATAGATCATCTTGACATCAACACTGTGCTTCGTCAAACCATATCTACTGTTGTATAGATCATCTTGACATCAACACTGTGCTTCGTCAAACCATATCTACTGTTGTATAGATCATCTTGACACCAACACTGTCCTTCGTCAAACCATATCTACTGTTGTATAGATCATCTTGACACCAACACTGTCCTTCGTCAAACCATATCTACTGTTGTATAGATCATCTTGACATCCACGCCGTTCTTCGTCAAACCATATCTACTGTTGTATAGATCATCTTGACATCCACGCCGTTCTTCGTCAAACCATATCTACTGTTGTATAGATCATCTTGACATCAACACTGTCCTTCGTCAAACCATATCTACTGTTGTATAGATCATCTTGACATCAACACTGTGCTTCGTCATACCATATCTACTGTTGTATAGATCATCTTGACACCCACACTGTCCTTCGTCAAACCATATCTACTGTTGTATAGATCATCTTGACACCAACACTGTCCTTCGTCAAATCATATCTACTGTTGTATAGATCATCTTGACATCCACACTGTGCTTCGTCAAACCATATCTACTGTTGTATAGATCATCTTGACATCCACGCCGTTCTTCGTCAAACCATATCTACTGTTGTATAGATCATCTTGACATCCACGCCGTTCTTCGTCAAACCATATCTACTGTTGTATAGATCATCTTGACATCCACGCCGTTCTTCGTCAAACCATATCTACTGTTGTATAGATCATCTTGACACCCACTCCGTCCTTCGTCAAACCATATCTACTGTTGTATAGATCATCTTGACATCTACGCCGTCCTTCGTCATACCATATCTACTGTTGTATAGATCATCTTGACATCAACACTGTGCTTCGTCATACCATATCTACTGTTGTATAGATCATCTTGACACCAACAACTGTCCTTCGTCAAACCATATCTACTGTTGTATAGATCATCTTGACATCAACACTGTGCTTCGTCATACCATATCTACTGTTGTATAGATCATCTTGACATCAACACTGTGCTTCGTCATACCATATCTACTGTTGTATAGATCATCTTGACATCAACACTGTGCTTCGTCATACCATATCTACTGTTGTATAGATCATCTTGACATCAACACTGTGCTTCGTCATACCATATCTACTGTTGTATAGATCATCTTGACATCAACACTGTGCTTCGTCATACCATATCTACTGTTGTATAGATCATCTTGACATCAACACTGTGCTTCGTCAAAGCATATCTACTGTTGTATAGATCATCTTGACATCAACACTGTGCTTCGTCATACCATATCTACTGTTGTATAGATCATCTTGACACCCACACTGTCCTTCGTCAAACCATATCTACTGTTGTATAGATCATCTTGACACCAACACTGTCCTTCGTCAAATCATATCTACTGTTGTATAGATCATCTTGACATCCACACTGTGCTTCGTCAAACCATATCTACTGTTGTATAGATCATCTTGACATCCACGCCGTTCTTCGTCAAACCATATCTACTGTTGTATAGATCATCTTGACATCAACACTGTCCTTCGTCAAACCATATCTACTGTTGTATAGATCATCTTGACATCAACACTGTGCTTCGTCATACCATATCTACTGTTGTATAGATCATCTTGACACCCACACTGTCCTTCGTCAAACCATATCTACTGTTGTATAGATCATCTTGACACCAACACTGTCCTTCGTCAAATCATATCTACTGTTGTATAGATCATCTTGACATCCACACTGTGCTTCGTCAAACCATATCTACTGTTGTATAGATCATCTTGACATCCACGCCGTTCTTCGTCAAACCATATCTACTGTTGTATAGATCATCTTGACATCCACGCCGTTCTTCGTCAAACCATATCTACTGTTGTATAGATCATCTTGACATCCACGCCGTTCTTCGTCAAACCATATCTACTGTTGTATAGATCATCTTGACACCAACAACTGTCCTTCGTCAAATCATATCTACTGTTGTATAGATCATCTTGACATCCACACTGTGCTTCGTCAAACCATATCTACTGTTGTTTGGATCATCTTGACACCCACACTGTCCTTCGTCAAACCATATCTACTGTTGTATAGATCATCTTGACATCCACGCCGTCCTTCGTCAAACCATATCTACTGTTGTATAGGTCATCTTGACATCCACACTGTCCTTCGTCAAACCATATCTACTGTTGTATAGATCATCTTGACATCCACGCCGTCCTTCGTCAAACCATATCTACTGTTGTATAGATCATCTTGACACCAACATTGTCCTTCGTCAGAATATATCTATTGTTGTATAGGTCATCTTGACATCCACACTGTATCTGTCAAACCATATCTACTGTTATATTCATAACATAATCGATAACATCATTGCCTTCGTCATGTTGGCTTAATGAAAATGCATTTAATTATGTACGGTTGAATAATTACCAGGAAAATATATCCATTCATTTAGTCCAAAAGGTTTCAAAAGTAATTAACCATGTTGTCCAAGCAATACGTTGCGGAACACAATGGGCATCAATGTTAAAAAGGCATAGTCATTTAACCCCAATTCTAATTATTAGTAGCATCCTGTCCTTACACAAAAACACTTCCGAATATTTGCACCCCAAAAGGACAATAGCAGGAACAGTGAGACAGCACTCTACAGTTCTTTTTCTTTGACGTTTAACGTCATACTCTGAGATATTCCACATGACGCCGGTCTGTGGATAGAATAGTCTGGACCAGACAACAAACCAGGAGTGTGTGATATCAACAGCAAGTGCCCCGAAAACAGGATTTACGGACAAACAAGGTGTCATTGTTTTTCCATTGATCACCGTCCATTCCCTTTCAAGACAAACTGTGGCATGTCCAACCACATACCGCGAAATCCATGTGTGTCCGTCAAGCGGCGAACATTTTCTGTAGAAAAATAGGTAAGGAAACCCATGTTTCGAGTACCTGGAATTATGTTAATCGATTCATTTGGGAACTGCTTTAACGATGGTTTGCCATACAACTAACAGCTGAACAATGTTCTATCATCCATTTCGTAACACAATCACTCCTGATAAAACCATCAGGGAGTTTGGGGCAGAAATTTCTTTGATTTGATTGTCAAGCATGGAACCAATCAATACTTCCTTGCACAGTTCTTGTACAAGCAACAAAGAGACAGGATTCCAACGATATCTCCATGTCATACAAGTACCTCGGTACCAATAACCGCCAAAGCGCACGTGAAGGGCCCAAGAGGACCTACTGCCCCTCTCGTCACAGATAGTCGAAACCATTGTGTATCACATACAAGGTGACGTGCAACAGAGAGATCCATGCAGTTGTAAGTCCGCCACACTTGAACACCGTAAACGGTAATGTTGGCCGCCATTAAAAAAAGGGAGGATAACATTAAACGTGTGGAGTTTACCTAGGACATTTACAAAGCGATTAAATTGGGTTGATAAAGCAATTAGTAAGGTCTGTGGAAGCGGGATTAGATGATATCAACAGTCAATAATTGCCTAACCACGAACAGATCAGTGCAATATTTAAAGAAAACCCAATTGAAAACCCACAACAGGGCGTCGTTCTCGAGACAAGGTCATGTGACAAGGTTGTGGGTCTCAAACACGTGTCCCTCTCTCCATCAGAAGATTCACGACGAGATTAGGTCGGGACACAGACATATCCAGCCAACCTCGCATTAGCTCGCTATCATTGCCTGATTACAGGTACAGTGTCTGTCTACCTGGGCGTTATTGCGTGATGATGTACAATAAACACGAAGATATCACATCTCCAAACTCCCATTGTAATGATGGCAAACATGGTGGACATGTGAAGAAATACCTGCTTCATATTGACATCGTCAGTGTAAATACATATGATAATCATTAACGATTACTGAATAAAACAGGGCTATAACCCAGTGTTCCACCAGCTGTGGGCATGTGAAGAAAAACAATGGTATGTTTCGCAATGGCGTTCACGCCATTGTGCATAATCAAAATGTTTTCGAAAACTACCTCGACAACCATTGGCAACAAGTGTACATTTTAACCAATTTTCAGAACCAAGAGTACACATATATATACATGTTCATATACCAACAAACACGATATGATTAGAAGCGTCCGTTACGATCTTTGACATGGAGTCCGGAAGAGTGTATATGAGTATATATACCCTGTAAAGAGATGAAGGGTCATGGCATAAAAGAGTCTTACTTCTGACCTGTATCCTGGATACGGGGGTGGGTGGGGGGTTACAGCGTAGGGGTGGGTAGAGCGTAGGGGTGCGTAGAGTGTAGGGGTGGATGCGAGCCCTAAAACAACATCACTGTCACCTACCTGTCCTGTAGAAGTCGATGATAGAATTAAACACGGCGGGGTGGCGGTCAAAGAAGTATTCCTCCTTCCCGTCACCCAACAGGTGGTTCTCCGCCAGACGTGACAGGCGCGTGTTGGGCACGGTCTGCAGGGTGGACGCGTGCGTTTCGTGCCGCACGCCCCCCACGTTAAGAACAATCTCCTCGTCATCAGTCAACGACTGTCTGCGGACTTTGAGAGGGGTGTTCCCGACATCGTCCTCGTCCACTATGAAACGCTGAATATCCTTGCCTCCTCGAACATACGCACTCATGATTAAAGTTGCATGGGTGATTATCATACTTTGCCATAAGGGCTTTCAACTTTCTCCTCCCCTCTGCATCTTTGGTAGCCCCACGCCATCTCTGGAGCTACTGATCCCCAAACAGAACTTGAAGTAGAGTCGTCTGCTTCTGCTCAAGTCGTCTGCTACTGCCATACAAGTAGCGGCATTCCATTCATTGACAACGGCTACAAGAAAGGCTGTCTTACATGCTCAACCTGTATGGTTGCGGCTTTTAATAAAACATAACTGTTCCCACCATCACGGCCAATGGGATCCGCGGGTTATCCAGAGGTCACGTATTGCATGATACACAAACCCAAGAAATATTCATCCTGGTTTTTAAACACCACTTCACTTGGTGGCGTAAGACAAAGACACAACTCCGCGTGTGGGTAGCTCGGCATTGTAAAGCATGACGCTCAATCTGCCACAGCCTGCCGCCCGACCCTCCGTTTCTGAACACAACTCTTCGATCGGAGAGCTACCGTCTGAGCGAGATGAGACGATACCGTGTTGCATCGTTGTCGTGATCAAGCGTGGTGTGTGGAGAAACATTGAAAATTTTACTAAATCGTCACCATGGCTACCGCCTGTTCTTGCAGACGAACATATCACACGGCCATAACTATTACCTCACAGAACCGATCAGTAAAAAATATTCTTACAGCCAGGAACGTCGACATCGATGAAGGCTAATTATAACTAAGTCATGACTTCCTCTGGCGGCAGCAATGTACATGCTGCAGGCGACAAAGGACGCCTAGACTTGGTGCTCTTCCCACTTGACAACAACAGCGTAACGTCAAGACCTATTTGGACCATTATGCCGTTTGCCTCTCGCCTCCTTTCCATGACATTTGGTGTTGTACCTAAAGAAGAACATCCTCGTTGTGTCAGGCTGTAGGACACGATGAGCTGGATGATTTAGCTTGCTTCTTTAGTTCGTGCTCATCAGTTTGTTTAATTAATATACTTTCACATATTTGGCTGCACTCTTTGTCTGTGCTGAGGTCTGTCTTTCACTGACCCCTTGCTTACCGGGGTTGAATTTGTCCCCAGGATCTCATTGCAAGTCGGAAGAGTGAATAGGGACCACGTGATAAATACGGGTTCGGATTTAGTACTGAGCAGTCGTTAGTGGTCGTAAGAGGCGACTGAGTGGATCGAGTGGCCAGTCTCGTTGACTTTGTTGATGACGTGGCAACGGACCTAGACTGTACGGACCCTTGCTCATTAAACTAAACTGTCTGGTTCGGTCTCGAAATTTACTGGCCGCCGTCGTTTAGAGAGAATATTTTTGAGTGTGACGTTGAACTACACGCTCGCGCACTCGCGCACATATGCACGGAAAGACACAAAAACTTTAGTCTATCCTGTTCTATGCGGTAAGATTTCACTTTAAATGGGTAGTGGAAGCGACAACAATTGGATTAACATCGACAAACGTTTAAGTTATATCTTGATTGACACTTTTATATTATGTAAAATATGACAGAATGGTTTAGTATATATTGTCATTCTCAGATACTTTTTTAAAAGAACATAAAACATAAATACCGCATGTGCACCATTACTTTCAATGTTTGTGAGTATGTAGACGAAAGGGTAGCAATGTTTGTTTGCAAATCCATTAATAGCTGGTACTTGCTTTCACAAAAAATTCCAGTTCAATAAAGAATATATTGGTGACGATGTCACCGTTGCAGCCTCAGCCAAAGATGTTTCTTCCATTTCAAGGTTAGATTGACCTTGAGCTGTTTCTTGATTCTGACAGATGAGTTTTTCGCATGTGAAGGCCAAACTGATTTTCTTACGATATTTACAAATCCATATCATACGTCAAGATTGACATCGTCCTCTTATATAATGCAGGCGATTGGCACGATACATATAACAAGAGCCTTTGAACATAAGTGGCTTCAAGGACGGATTAAAGAGTTGTCAGTGAAGGGACATTTTCTGCAGTTGGTTGTCTATATATATTCATGTGGTTTGTTCAACAGTCACAATGCAGGTTCTCTTGACCTCCAGGATAATCACTCACATAATGAGATTGATAATTCGCCGAAGGTAGACATTTTACTGCCTCTTCGCCCAGTTTGCCACGTTTGGTTTCACCCACTTTTCCACGTTTGGTTTCACCCAGTTCACCCACTTTTCACCCGTGAAGGTCAGCGTTAGAATATTGATCTTCAGTAACCCATGCTTGTCGTAAGAAGCGACTAACGGGATCGGGTGGTCAGGCTCGCTGACTTGATTGACACATATCATCGGTTCCCAATTGCGTAGATCGATTGGATCAATCACTGGATTGTCTGGTCCAGACTCGATTATTTACAGACCGCCGCCATATAGCTGGAATATTGCCGACTGCGGCGTAAAACTAGTCACTCACCCACTTTTCCACGTTTCGTTTCACCCACCTTTTCATGTTTTGTTTCACCCACTTTTCCAAGTTTTGTAAGCCGCTGTAAGCAACCGTCGTTGTTCAAATTCGTGATTGTTCACAACCGTTGTGTCACAGATGATCCGTTTATGTAACATTGGAGTACAACCAGCCATTAAGTATAAAGTTATTGTGTTTGGCAACAGATCTAAACAACCGGTATAACCTGCATTTATATATCGACATGAATACAACCACTACAGGAACAAATCATTTGTCCTAGTGGTTACAGCGTTCGCTCGTCACGCCGAAGACACGGGTTCGATTCCCCACATGGGTACAATGTGTCAAGCCCATTTCTGGTTTCTCCCGCCGTGATATTACTGGAATATTGCTAAAAGAGGCGTAAAACTAAACTCACTCACCCACTGTATTCATACAACAGATGAATACAACCGTTCATTAAACAGAGTCTGATTAAATACGAATACAACAGCAACTGTTCACGGGTAGAATGGTAAAGAATTATTATACAACCATGTTGGCAACATACCATCGCGAATCCAATCCCCCAAAATACTCTTCCCCTCTTCACACACACACACACACACACACACACACACACACACACACACACACACACACACACACACACACACACACACACACACACACACACACACACACACACACACACACACACACACACACACACACACACACACACACTGTCATACACTGTCCAAATACGTAAGGGATCGGGAATATGTTTTGGAATATATCATATCCCCAAACATTCATCATTCCTATATTTTTTGTGCGTTGTAGTTTTGTATTTATCTTCGCTGTATCAACATGGCGTCAGCCATCCTTGTCGAGACAGGAAACCAGTCCATCTCTCTATAATCAACCCTCGACAATTGGCAGTATGCTCGGAATACGAGAACATAATTACTGCAATCTATAACAGACGGAGCTCAGTCATAATCATAACTTCTACATGCAACGTAAAAACACACCGTGTAATTTGTAATACGTTGATACTTCTTACACAGACATTCATTGATTCCGATGGAAATCAAGGCGTCTGACAGCCTTTAAGAAACATTCTCAAGATTTTATGTTCTTCACATGAATTTTTGATGAATGCTGTATTTTGCGAACATTAAACTCTGTGCTGTTCATGTTTGTGGGAGTAAAAAACCTAGTTTAATATTACGAAGGAAATGCATATAATTTAGAACCGTCTCGAGGCCTCTTCTCTGAATAAATAAAGTGCTTCTTATGTCAAAGCAATTTCTGCTGCGCTAAAACAAAATATTGTGACTGCTTCGCTATCGATCGGACATGCCTGGAGATCTCGGTTTTATATCAAGCCCAATTCTGTTTACTCTAATCATTATGTGAACACGACGTATACGTGACAGGCATAGAAATACACAGGGACCGTGTCACAAGTGTTGATCCATTTAATCCAAGTGCACTGCGTCTTTGAGACTGGAAATACACCGCCGTGACGCATTGTGATCAGATTAATGCCGTTCGGAAACACTATAAATCTAGGAAAATATTAATAAGCATCAGTTCTACAAGGAGTCACTTTTTTGAAGTTGGCTCTTATTCAATTTGCTCAGATCTATTGTCCATAATTGTTGTATCGATCTAGCGATAAAGAGGCCTGTATATGTATTTCTGAGATCTTCTTCCAATAGGGACAGGGAATTTCATTTGCATTGTCTCAATTTCCGTATTATTTTCTGTCTTACGTTTCAGAATCATGGCTTTGATACTTTATTACAATCAGACAAGAACTACCGGGGATATTTTCAAATAACTGCATCTGATGGGCATCCACCCTTCTTAATGTCACACTGTTGAAGAAATTAACCGTAACAGTGATGAGCGATGCTGATCAAATAAGGCCTAGCGACACCAAGCGATTTTGACAGAATCATCTATGAAAACAAGTTGTAACTCGGAAACTAGGCAAAGCAGGAGACAAAATTAAATGACAGTAGATTGTGAGAACATATAGCTTTCTATTTTCACAACAGTTGTCACGATTCCAGGTTTATACAAACCTGTAAACAAGATAATTAACCCCCTGAAATGTACATGAATTCTGCATCGGCCCTCATATCTATTCCTCATATGACGTCACAGAGACGCGCCGCTCTGATTGGTTGAAATTTCGTTCGCGGGTGAGAATTGTGCACTGTTGACAAAAAGGTCGATTTAAGTTAATTAAAGATCGAAATGAGTATTTTTAATGACGGCGTTTCATTTATAACGATACCAATTAGTGATTTATGTATTTGTACCCCCCTAGAGTATATGTGATCTTTAAGGAATTCTAGGTGAAGTATATTGGTCGTCTTCAATTTTAGGGTTGTTTTAAGATTTAGAGTGAATTAGTGGTTTACTCTCCAGTACTATTCTCAAGTCAATAAATAATCTGTTCTGATCCAGTCGACTAAGGAGTCGCCATCTGCTTGACTTACGTCCCTTGGGCCTCACTTTATGTTTCTAGGATTGTCAGAAGCATATCCACGCTCGTGGGTTTCACAAAATGGTAAGACCTGTATTAACAGTAAACGCGCTGTCTTGTCACGGGATTGTCTGGTCAAGAACAGATTGTTAAGTGGCAGGGTACAAAAGTGGTAAAGGTCTAAGGCCTGCATCCCCCTGAGCTTTCCTCCCCACAAACTGTGCCAAGCAGCGTTAAACAGACCCACTCACTGTCTCGGACCAGGTTGATGACATGAACAAACCTTCAGGCAGGTCGAGGTTCGATGGAGCAATGCAAGGCAACACATCGTGACCACCAAGTCCAATTTTATTCGTTTACGATATGCATTTTGAGTACTGAGCATCTGTTCGGGCGAAGCCTATGAGGAAACTGATGTTGCCCAGCGAGGATTCCGTGGTCAGTACCTCACCAGTAGTTTAAGCAGGTCATACGAGGAGAGTTAATGGATCGGTAGTCAGGTTCAGTTGCTTCGTCGATGGCGTGATATTGTACAGGGTCTTTGCTCACAGTATCAGTCTTTCAATCGTTCTGAATGTGTTCGATTACGATCCTAGGTAAATCAACATCCTACCCGTGTTCGTGTATTTCACTAAAAACAGTACAAGTTTGGTCTTTATCATCTTTCCCTAACTGAAATGTCGTTCAAAAACGCTTTAAATCTTAGGTCACAATGTCATTGAAAGGAAGCCATCGATCGA